CGTTGACTTACTGGATAGCGCGTGCAACTCGTTTGCACTTATGGGTACGGGTTAGAAAATTGTAAAGGGGATGTAAAAAAAAGTCCAAAGAGTATGTGTTCTTATGTAGTATGTTTTTATTGTGGTCTAATTGCATCTGTCCGATTCGTAATCTAATTAAAAAATGTTATGCTAGCCTATAAAGTTAGATTGGCAGGAGCGAGGCTTTAGTGATTGAAAAGTTAAAACATAGCTGTATAGTTTAGATTATAATCATAATTATCACAAAACTTATCATGTATCAATTAAGGATTGATAAATATGACATTCACTGCTGATATAGGCCTATTCAGCATTGTTGTTTGGTTTATCTGTGAAATTCAATTGATATGGCACTCTTGTAGTTTAATTTATTAAAATGCGAAGGGAGGATATGCTCAATTTGCTCCCAGATAAAACAACTACTTTAGACGGCAAAAAGATTTTAATTCGGACAGATAATCTGAAAAGAACCTGTTATTAGATAATAGGTTGCACAATTAACTATGTGGTAAATTATAGGTAACACAAAAGCAAATAAAAAACCAATTTTAATAAACCACCCGAGGGAGAAGTAAAGTGTAGGCCCTTTTTGCGTGAAACGTGATTTAAAAGAAACGTTTGTGGTTCATACAGTTTATCCTGGCTTTTAATGTTACTGAGCCAACTACAAACAAGCTGAGATCAAAATGTTCAATCAAAGTAGACCTAAATATTTTACCGGTAAAACTTTATGGGTCTTTAGAAAGTAGTCGTGAATTAGCTTGTCCACGAAAAATAACACTCTCTAAAACCATTCTCAACATTGAAAAGTACGTGCATTAGAGCCGGGAAAAGGGTTCCTACATTGTGTTAAGTTCACTGTTGACATTTCGCTATCGATCGTGAGGGTCTACATTGTCAGGTATGTCGTCAACCTCGGTCTCCGCAAGGCAAGTGGAACAAGCAGATGGACCTCCTTGGATACAGGGTCATAACGTGGATACTGTCGGATAGTTGTGGTTTAGAGGTAGGCTTACCATTGACAACACTAGTGGAAGTAAACACAAAGTAATTGTAACTTGACAATAGTGGTGGGCCACATTCTGTATAGTAACTAATCGCAGCAATAAATTAAAAACTTCCTCTTTAAAACTTGGTTAACTATACAGATAATAAAAGTCGTTACAAGTTTGAGGTTGACCTTTGTCAAGAGGTTCGAGTGAAAGCAATTTCGGACTGAGTTTATCAGAAGTACAAGCATGTTTGCAGCCGCTGTCAACATTTGAATTGATTGTGTACTGGTCATCTATAAACTGACAAAACTGTAGCTATTCTGAAGCTAAATTTGAATGGGAGCGTTTTTCACAGTAATGTTTTTTTATATCATGTACCTATGTAAGTTAGGGAAGATGTAGATTTGTTTAAGTTCAAACCCATTTTTAAAAATAGCTAAACTCTATAGATCAACTAGGATAACCAATAGCGAATTACTGTACGAGTTTAAATTATTGATATTAGTATACAAATTTGATGGTTTAATATTTATTGTTGTGTTTATGTTATCATCAATTTTAGTTTACTTACTGCGATCACCATACAAAATGCAAAACAGTTATTACAACATTGTAAACTGTAAACCCCAAATCAACCTATATAAAATCGCTACCGTACATCTGAAAAATCTAAAGTAATTTTCTACTTCAGCAAATTATGCCAAATTTATTTTACAACGGAAACTAAAGTTATGCCGTACAATTATGAATATAATGTGAACAGCATTTAAATGTAACTTGCGTATTAAATAAGTATAGATTTACTATGTAAACACAATTCAAAAACTAGTTTTCCACAAAGCGAACCGCAAAATACCACAAGCCACACGTCAGAAAAAAAACACACACACTATTGTAAGTTCACTCAAACAACTTTTTCAAAAACAATCACCAAGTAACAACAAACGAGAAAGTAAGGTTAACACTATGTTCTAACACGATTAGGCGACGCGCGCGCTCTAGAGTCGCTGTGATACTACAGGCAGTGGTTGACGTTTTGGCGGGGACTGATCAGCTGTTTATCGCCGGGTTACATCAGCTGGTTTACCGGCTAGCCACACATGGCAGTGGCTTTCGGACCGGCTTTTACAACCTGTGGATTTCTCCAATTAATGGCAGCGATCAAAAAGTTAGCAACGCTTTATTGGAGAAAATACTCGACTAACCCGTTTCTTTGCGAATAAAATAGTAAATGAAGTGGAAAGCTGAGTTTTTTGCAGGGAATAGCTGACGCTCACTAGCGTCTGTCGGATTGTTCAATGATTTCTGCAATGTCGAGAACGATATAGGAAGTGCTCCTGTATTGAAACAATGTGAAGGGGAAATATCTCGATTGTACCAGCAAATGTTTTTGGTTTGCTAGGATAACACTTCGCAAAGAGTTGCATTGGAACAACTTCAAGAGCAGTTGATTTTTTTACAATCTATTAATGCAATGAAAACTGAAGCAAATTTTACAGATTAACTTTAAAGTTGGTTTACATATGCGATTATGACCAGGAAAGGTATTAGGAATAAGCTATTAGCATCCTGTAATTTTGCTATTGTCGACTTTCTTTTTCTATTTACCATTAGTATCACAGGAAATGCAGTGAATACCTTATACAATATTTAGGGCCTTATGTTCTTTAAACCCTTTGTTTGTTTATTCTTGTGGTAAACAAGGCCGTGTCAATATTTATCATGGAGTTCAACAATAGGGTAAAAGTTGAGGGCAAAGGTTCAGTCCTCAAGAAATATTACTTAATACTTCATTTACTTTAAGTACAACGCCTCAAATAATTACACATAAGCAAAACTTATTTTAAATGCAAACTACAATGCGGATAAGATTGTCGAAACCTCGAGACGATGGTTTTTACACACACGGCCGGTCCTACAGGAAGGTCAAGTCCATATATGGACGAGTCCAGGTCACTTGCCGAATCTACAAGTTCAAATTTCCACAATATCTGTTCACGTTACGTACGCAAAAATCTACGTAACATCATGAGGTAAACATATTGAGGTCAAAACTGCTATCGTCAAGATCGATTTTGACAATGCGTTACAATCGTTCACATTCCGAATAGCTCAACAAGTACAAGTATTTATGTGCTCCATGCTTAAATCTAAAACAATTAAAACTTGGACACGGATTTCTCACACTTGTTTTTTAACAACCGCTTTGGAAAGATTACAGTGTTTATTCGATGAGACAATGTTATCTTTACAAGGAAGCTTTAAGACAACTTGACATTAACCGACATAAACAGAATTATAATTGGTTTCAATCACTTGCGGTTGCGACAAATGTTCTGAAAGAGCTTTAACTCTTTCAATGCGGCCGTCATGTTTACTCTTGAAAATTGCACTTATCTCAATGATAAGGAACCGGTCGCCGGCGACTGACCCGCACGCAATGTGTTAAGGTTTCCTGCGTTTTCATGTGATAAGTGTGTGTGAGGATTTTTGAACTGTGCGTAGCTTTCCATGGATAGTTTTAAGAAATCAAGAAAACTCCGTTTTTAGTCGGTTTTTGAAAACTGAACGGATTTTCTATTTCGTGCTAAATACTAGAAGAGGCTCTATTACCGGGTACATGGAGTTTTGTTGAGGTTTTATTTTTCTGTAGCCTACACTATGGCATTAATTGGTTGTAAGGTTTACCAAACAAGTTCCTAGTATAAAATAAAATGGAAAAGTCATTTTAAAGCACGTTCTGGATAATTTATTTCTCTAAAGAGATGGTGGCATGGAGTATGGATTTACTCAGACGAACAACAGAGAGAGTCTACATAACCTTACATAACCCTAAATTAGGCAGGAGGTTTTTCAAAGTGCTAAAAGTGGGCCAGTATATATGTCTGTAGTGTTTTCGTATTTTTCTTTACCCGTGCGAATTAGGTATTAGGAGATTATTAATAGTGAGGATATGTAAAAGTAGTAGAATTCGTGTCTATAGTAGTATCTTTCCTCACCCAACCTTATCAAAAGATCAATGAATGGCGGGTCACGGTCGACTACAGCACAATCTCCGCCTCACATACCTTGGGGTGGCTTTCTCTCAATGTTACATTATAATTTCAGTTTATTTATAATATCAATAATTCTGTATTACAGTTTGCAATAGCAATTTTTGCGTTTGGATGGTTCATTATCCCCACACACGTAATACGTTTATTTAGTGGATTATAATTACTGGACTGTATGATTGAATTAACATTGGTTTCTTGTGACTCAAAGGATTTCAGAAACTTATAATTTTCCTAACAAACTTCTTTATTGACATTTCCTTGTACAAACTCTCACATTGCTTTAGTAAAGAGGGTTCTCCACTACGGAGAAATTTATCTTCGATTTTTTTGTTTTGTAAATGGATCACTTGCAATTTTAGATGGGATTCGAAGAACTGGTGCAATGTATTACATAGTCTGAAGACATTGCTAATTCATAACGCAGGATAGAAGATGAAACTCAGCCAACATGATAGAATTCTCGCACTCCAATTACAAAAACAGTCACCTCAAAGCAAAATAAAAAATATAACGTGAAAATTCGTAAAATTGCTTTATATTTCTACTTACATGTTAGACTGTCGCAAAATCAAGTTTAGAAACAGTCTGACCTGATATTCCACTGGCCCAGTGTACCAAAACACTTTGTAAACAATTTTATACATAAACAATTTAACATGTAGACGTAGTATTAGATTTTATATCACAAAACGCGGTATGTTCGAAGTGGTTATTTTAATTAGCTATAACATACTAAAATCTGTTGACTATTCCTAATTCCAAGTGCTCACCCCACCTAAAACGTGATTGTTGCAACCATTGTTATCAGGTGTCAGGTGCGACAGTCCAAACTACACAGTGATCAAACCGGCAAACCTGCAAACTCTAAACAATGGCCTCCACCGCTACAACAATCAACTATCAACAATGCAGCAACCAACACGCTACACACCAATGTGTCTGGTGAGGGAGTACTCGAACCCGTGACCCACGGCTCGACCCTCTGCGATCTTCTGGAGAGTGCGGACAGCGGGGCCTGCAGACAACATGGGGTGAACACAAACAACACAATGACAACAGGCGAAATCATAGGAAACATAGCAAACACAAAAATAGCAACACGTAAAAATAAAAATTGTATAACAAAAATGCAAATAATTTTCGAAAAATTGAGTTGTTCCTTAATTGAAAAGGAGTAGGCCTACCACTCTAGCTGCAGTTGAGGTAAACGTTTTAACAGATTCTACGATATATCATGTGAGAAACATCGTGTACAAACGTCAACAAGGGAACGTCCTAAATGGAAGCAATGTTTGTGTGCATATCAATACAGCAATATGACTTATTTGACAAAAGACCCAATTTCTATTGAAAAAAGAAAGACGTGCTACGGTGCATGGATAAAACAATCAAGCTACTAAATTCTTGGATGCTTGGAAAGTAAAATATTTTTTTTGAAGTTTGTAAATTATACTTACAGTAGGTTAAGCAGTCAAATAAGCAATTTGGGTAATGTTCCGTTGGCCATAAAGTATTGTATAAGGCTGTGGTTTCCTAGACGCGTAATAGATGCGCTGCGTGTGCGCATCTAAGACGCAGCACACTTATCTTATGGAGTTTCGTGTAAGCGGTTTCCTAGGCTGCGTATCTAATGCGCGCGCATCTAATACGCGCGCACCAATAGCTGCGTATTTGACCGACTGCTTTCAGAGCAGTCGAATCTGAGTTACGCTGCGTTTTAGACATGTCTTGTGCAATGGATTCGGAAGTAAATGTTGTACAGAAGGCAAAATTCTCCAACAACGACGAAAAATTGATTGAATTTGTCTCTTATAATGACATATTATGGATACTTTGTTCATACAAATAAAATTGTATAGTATTATATTTCATATCATTCGTTATGTAGTGTTAATTTCCCCATAATGTGTGATTTTAATATTTAATCCCCTTGTTACATGTTCCCTACAATTAATTTGTCCTTAAATATTTTCTTATTGTTGTTACTGTATTAAAAAATAAACCTAATATTGACAAATAATATTCTTTTCAAGTCAGCACAACCAACTCCCAAATATAAGTGCACCCATAATTATTTTAAGAACTCATGAACATCTTAGTAATAACTCTATATTAATTACTAGCATAGTACCCAAACTTCTTACGGGGTTGGCGTATAAGTATAAAATGATTATTGCAGTTGTAAAAGGTATTTTCATCGATTCGGTAAATCCCGAATAGGTAAATATAATAACAGTAAAAGCAAAGTTGGAGAGGTAAATTAAGATGTATTGTTTGAATTTTAAATTGACATGTTTGCTTTAATACTACGGTTAAAAGATGCGTGAGGGCCACATACAGTTACTAACAGAAGCTTTAAGTTTTTTCACTGCTTACGCTTCTTCAAAGCTTTTAATGCCAAAATATCAATTTCATTATCTAAATCATCGTATAACATCATAGTAGCCCCTAGTAATCTCTCCCGTGAACTTATGTTACGCACCAACCATGTGTATTGTACGCAGTCTAGGAAACCACTCACGGCGGCTGCGTTTTGGGACCTGGATAAAAGACGCTGCGCATCTAAATCGCTGCGCATCTATTACGCGTCTAGGAAACCACAGCCTTAGTAGTGTGTCGTGGTCGTAATACACGTTCATCAATGCAAATAAACGAAAAGCTCGACAAAATAAAAAAAAATTTAGCTAAGCAAATAAATCCAATGTAATAGACTAAACTACAATCGGGGGGTTACGAGGAATAACTGATAACATAAGATAACAAATTAGACCAACTACCAGGTAATAATGTGATCGTTAGCGGCAATACGAGAGCGCCTGCAAATTTTGTCGCCACACTCCGCAGTACATTACAGTCTGTGAATAATCTTCCATCGCATTGCAGGCACCGTCATAAATGTAACTCTCTCTATGTACAAGTGAATAGACCTAAATATATTTGTATTGCCGTATTTTTTTTGTCTGATTTTTAAGGAAATGTATACATCACAGATTATTAGTGGAAAATGTGGATATCAATTTTGTTCTTGGGTTAACTTGTCGAGCTCTTCCAATTAAAGTTTGAAACTAACATTTTTGTGATTGGGAGTACCACGACTGAACTGTTACTCCTGGCATAAAATACTTCGCCTTAAGAAAATTACGAAAAATAAACACACAGTATAAAACACCAAAAGTGTAATTGTCACATATAAAATTTATTAGTTTATGCCTATATGAAAGACATATCAACCCTACCAATTCAATGTTCATACAACAGTCCAAACACATATTTTCTTTATAGATTTGAAGCAAGTAGGGAGTCTATATACCCTTTGAAATCTTATGATTAGGAATTACGTTTTCCTTGTTGAATTTTAGAATTAAATGAAAATAGGGGGTTTACAGCATGTTAATTACCCTACAGGTTTCTTTCATGAAAAACATCCCTTACGTCAGTTTTTCTAAAAAAAACATGGATAGATGGATAAAATTGATTAAGACTTCTCATAATCATATTGAACCTTCAAACCACTCTTATGCACGATTCAATCGAAAGGGCGAGGACCTAACACTATGTTCAAACAAATAACATGTCGTTTTACAGACACTAAGTACAGTAAGAACAAATCGTGTAGAACTAGGGAGTGTTGGCACCCGGGGCTGTCGCTCTATGGGGGACCTAACGCCAAGTACATACAAGCACATTTAGTACTAAGTAGAGTATAGAAAATCAACTCACGTGAGGGCAGCAGCCTCGGGGGCAGCGTCTGTGTGTGAGGGCGGCAGTTGGGGGCGGCGACGTCGCTCTGAGGGGATGCGGACCTGACACCATCTCGCTTCTTGGTGCTTCCTGCAACAAGAAACACATCACGTTAAAACCACAACAAGCTAAGTTACAAGCTGGGTCGATCCCGTCCCTAACACGGCAAATGCTAAAAATACATTTAAAATACTTGATATATATATATGTATAATATACCACGACACCAGTCATGAGAGACTGAAGGCTAGATATAGAGATAAGAGACTAAGGTCTGGAGAAGAGCGGGTCAACCACCTGGCCTCAGAGACGTGGTCAAGCCGGATATAGCATTGCCACCAGCCTAGCTGACTACTGACAACACCCTGTATATACCACGACACCAGTCTTGAGAGACTGAAGGCTAGATATAGAGATAAGAGACTAAGGTCTGGAGAAGAGCGGGTCAACCACCTGGCCTCAGAGACGTGGTCAAGCCGGATATAGCATTGCCACCAACACAGCTGACTACTGACAACACCCTGTATATACCACGACACCAGTCTTGAGAGACTGAAGGCTAGATATAGAGATAAGAGACTAAGGTCTGGAGAAGAGCGGGTCAACCACCTGGCCTCAGAGACGTGGTCAAGCCGGATATAGCATTGCCACCAACCCAGCTGACTACTGACAACACCCTGTATATGGGTGCGTACACAAAGAACGCCGGTTGCCGGCGCCGGCAAACCGGCCGCTGTAAGCGCGTCCCGGCTCGAGAAGAACTTAACATGGAACTTAACAAGCGCGAGCTGCCGGCGTCAACCGGCAAACAAGTATGAAGGGTGCGTTCACAAAGAAAGCTGGTTACAAGTAACTTACTTTCAGCACTTGTTCCAAGCGCTTGAGAATGCTGTTGTGTGTTCACAACAAACGCTTTAGTCTCAGCTTTGGTTGAGACAATATCTTCCTCAAGTGATGAAGAGTTATTTTTTTATTGAAAATGTAGAATTAAAAGGATGTAGAATTAGGAAGGTGTTCATGCAATTAACCGCGGAAGTTAATCACGTTTAATTACATCCTCAAGAAAATTTAATGTGTTTTAGTGAAGTTTTGGGGGGATTGGCAAAAGCAACCTATCCATGCACCAGAACGAATTTTGGGTCAATAATAAAACCTAAAAAATACTTGAAGGGAGTTTTAAACACCCTATGTAGCTGATTAATTATCATGCAAATAATATTGTGAGATATATTCAAATTTTTTAATTTTCTAGGTAAATAAAGTAAAAGTATACAAGTTTCATCTATAAAAAATCCAACACAACACTTAATTAATATTAAATTAAATGTGTTTGTCTATCGTATTAATACATATATGTTATATTTGTCCTATTGGTTACGTTATTGAACATTCTAGGGAAAACCCACAATATGTGGGTAGTATATTTTTTTGGAAATTGGAAGCTCTAAGAGCTATCAACTCATCGACATCCATACTGCACTACTGACTGGTTCGGTCAACAAGCGCCGGAAAACAAGTACGAAACGTTCTTGCGTGCTTGTCAGAACTTGTAACAAGCGCTTGCTAGCCGGCACAAGCTTTGTCTGTGAACACACACGCTTGATACTATGTTAACTTTTCTCACGCCGGTTCGAGCTTGTAAGCGCTTGCCAACAAGCGCTTGTAACCAGCTTTCTTTGTGAACGCACCCGAAGAGAACATTCTTATAAGCCGGTTCCGGCAACCGGCTCAGTCCGCGAGTGGTCTCTGTACTGTGCAGTTGGTGGGTGTCATAGCGCGATGGTTGATACAGATGATTTAATTTCCAAAGTTTATCAAAATAAGGCGATTTGGGATAAACCGGAGAAGTTGCACGCGAACAGAGTGTATGTAGATAAGTGTTGGATGGAGATAGCTACTGAATTCTCATGTATGTGTAGAACCGTTGTGGGTCACCTTTTAGTTGCGGATGAAACAAGTGATGGTATTCACCAAGTTTCTTCCTATGTCTATTAATAACATGAACACCGACTTTCCTCCTTTGCAATAATTTTACATGAACACTCTCCGCCAAAAACACATCATCACTAGACGAAGACATCTTTGACACGGCTCAAAGTGAACTGACTTGTCACGCTTGTTACCAGCTTTCTTTATGTACGGCTTCAAGCTTTTGCCGCGCTTGTAAGCACGAGGAGCAAGCTGCCGGTTTGCCGGTGCCGGCAACCGGCGTTCTTTGTGTACGCACCCTATACCACGACACCAGTCTTGAGAGACTGAAGGCTAGATATAAAGATAAGAGACTAAGGTCTGGAGAAGAGCGGGTCAACCACCTGGCCTCAGAGACGTGGTCAAGCCGGATATAGCATTGCCACCAACCCAGCTGACTACTGACAACACCCTGTATATACCACGACACCAGTCTTGAGAGACTGAAGGCTAGATGTAGAGAAGAGACTAAGGTCTGGAGAAGAGCGGGTCAACCACCTGGCCTCAGAGACGTGGTCAATCCGGATATAGCATTGCCACCAGCCTAGCTGACTACTGACAACACCCTGTATATACCACGACACCAGTCTTGAGAGACTGAAGGCTAGATATAGAGATAAGAGACTAAGGTCTGGAGAAGAGCGGGTCAACCACCTGGCCTCAGAGACGTGGTCAAGCCGGATATAGCATTGCCACCAACCCAGCTGACTACTGACAACACCCTGTATATACCACGACACCTGTCTTGAGAGACTGAATGCTAGATATAGAGATAAGAGACTAAGATCTGGAGAAGAGCGGGTCAACCACCTGGTCTCAGAGACGTGGTCAATCCGGATATAGCATTGCCACCAACACAGCTGACTACTGACAACACCCTCAATATACCACGACACCTGTCTTGAGAGGCTGAATGCTAGATATAGAGATAAGAGACTAAGATCTGGAGAAGAGCGGGTCAACCACCTGGCCTCAGAGACGTGGTCAAGCCGGATATAGCATTGCCACCAACACAGCTGACTACTGACAACACCCTCAATATACCACGACACCTGTCTTGAGAGACTGAATGCTAGATATAGAGATAAGAGACTAAGGTCTAGAGAAGAGCGGGTCAACCACCTGGCCTCAGAGACGTGGTCAATCCGGATATAGCATTGCCACCAACCCAGCCAACCCAGCTGACTACTGACAACACCCTGTATTACATCAGGTCAACACGTTATCTGTGTCTGGAATATCAAGTGATTGAATTACGAATCTACCACTCATGGTTTGAATAAAATCTCGCCTGGAACCGCCTGCCATGAGTATCTCAAAACACTATGATAAAGCAAAGCACCTTGAGATGAATTATAAAAACACACACACACAAGAAAGAAAATTCACAAAAGAAGATTGTGTAGGCTGTTACAGATGTTTTTGGGTGTCTCGGATGATTCGATGATTGAGGATAGGCAAAAACTCCAACTTAGTGCAACTGACGTAAAGGCAATCCATTCTTTAGTTCGGGGCAAATCTAAGTGACTACTTATGTATTCAAAGACAATATTCAACAAAAAAAAAACACAAAATTATGCAGTTTGATCATAAAAACTATTATTTAAAGAATCTCATGAAAACTGCACTTTGTAAAGCTCTATTTGTAGAAGATCACGGTGCAATCACAGGCAGGAATGCGGCACAAGCACGACTCATGATCACGAGCTGTGTGAACCGATCGCTGGATCGCTCGAGGATCGAACGTTGGAACCCTTGTAAGGAAACAAGGCTGCATTATGCTGGTCTCCAGCTGCCGGTAATTTGGTACAAATCAGCGGGAGAGTAATACAGGCTTGGCCGGTCTCCTGGGCATTGGAAGTTTCTTTTCTCGGGGCGATAGCGTAAAAGCTAGTAGTGCAATTGTAAATTCTATTTTTCAAATTTTCGTCAAACGCCATTCTGCTACGAATAGCCCTCTTGGCCATTCTCACCACAAAAGGTATAAACCCCTGCTTAAGTTTATCTTGGTCTACTTCCGGCATTAACAGGCAAAAAATTGGTAATATTAACAAAAGCTTTGTACCAAACCAGTTGCATTTAAGTTTTAACATTGTAGCACCTAGCGATAAAAATGTAAAAACGCGTAAATGTGTTCTATATCTCTGAATTGTAAGCCACTGTCACAACGACCGGACTCAATACGGCAATACCAGTTCAGTCAGTATATAGGCATACCGTATGTATTTGATCAACTATTTAACATAAAATTCAATGTTCAATTCAATTAGTTTTTTCCAATCCATCCAGCGTTATTGATTTAAAGTTCGATTTAGGATAGTGAGTTCAAGTTGGGGAAAGAATTACATCTTCCATCAGTATGCAAGTTTTGCTAAGTTTAGGGATCTAAGATACAACCCAATCATCAGGAAAAGGAACCTAGACTGTGAAATAGGATAACTGGATTAGTGCAAAACGCGGACGAGAAGGAAACCCAAACTGAAATAAAAACAACAAATGCTTAGATTGGTCAAATTAAAAAAAAAGGAAAACAAACAAAAAAGCTGAAATCACAGAAAGGATAAGATACGTGATCCATCAATACTGAATAGGTACTACACAAGATTACGACCCGTGTAATTGAGATGGGCGAATGAATACATTCCAGAATCAGAGTTCCTGGAGCAACACACGTCGCGCCCAGATTCGTTTAATTCTTGCGCACGGAACACCGTAAATATTGTGTTTACACTTCTCAGAAATGGACAAAATCTGCAAAAATCCTTCAAATATATTTTCTTTAGCTACATGCATAGGCCTAACTCAAGGGCAAACAATTATTTCCCAAAATTTACAAATAGTTTACAGAATAATTTCGTAATCGTTTCTGAAATTACAAACCTCTTTTGAAGCTGCCGAGCCGCATGCGGTTGTTGACGTTGTTGTTGGTGTTGGGTATGTACTCTGTACAAACCGCAGCGCTCAACTTGCGGTCCTTGGTGTTGTGCGCACCCATGACGTCAGCTGCACGCACTCACACACGCACACGCGCGCAACACACGTGTCACGTGACACATAACACGTCACTACACGTCACAACGCGCAAACACTGTTGCGAACCGTTCTTCCTCTTGTAATGATTT